CTTTCACCAAACTGATTATTAAGCTCACCACGTACTAATTCGTTGTGGTGCGCAGGAGCACCGTCATGTAGAAACCACATTTTTTCACGTATATTAAGTGGAACCTCTTCTAATAATATCGGTAACTGATTTACGATAAAATCTAAATAAATCTCACCATTTAAATTATCTTCAAAAAAATATGGTCCTACTATGGTTACCGACGATACCTCCCCACACATTTAGGGACCATCTTGTTTGACTATGTGTTACTATGTGGTATGGATTACTTGTTGAGTAGTAGTGAAAGTTATGCCTATTAAAAGAACCGTTTCGATGGAATGTAGCTTCATCGCCAAATAGGACATAATCAAAAAAATCTCTCTGCTAATTAATTTTTTCTAAGGCCCATTCACAAAATACTATTCGTTTCTGAAAATCATCATTAATTAATTCTTGGTGCTTTTGAATATGATAAGGGTGCATCTTGTTTTTAGATAGAATGTTTTGAACAGAGTAGTAACTAAGTTCTTGTTCATTGGAAATAGTCCTTATGCTTGTGTGTGGGTTTTCTGTAACCGTCATCAACACACTCATTTCGTTTTCCTCTGTCACACTAGTTTTTGTTCGTTCATGTTTTTCATAGTTCTTGATAAATTCTAGCTGATAGTAATGAATTTTTATTGCATTCCCCCAATATCCAGATCATATCTACCATTTCATCAGTAGTAAAATTCATTATTGCTAATTTAAATTGAATCAATTACTGAATTACTAAATAATAATTGTTGCTAATTTACGGTGTACCCCAATACTGAATTAATAAATATTAATGTCAAACTGTCAGTTTCTGACAAACCAATCATGGCCAACTCACAATAATTATTGGTAAACGTTAAAATATCTACCAAATTAATACTTTGATGGAAAAATAAAAATATCTTTAAAACTAATAATTTTAGGTATAGGGAATACTTCATAAAATATGAAGTACGATATTAGTTCTTTTCGATAGTGATATAAAATACAGGGTGTTCTATTTAAAATTACCAAGAAAATAATGTACTTGCATTTTGACTTACCCTGTATTTGATTTAACGAATATTATGAAAATGAATATGTTTTATAGTTTTTAACAATTATTAAAAAACTATGGTTGCTAAACTAAAAATAGATCAATGTTCCTACAATCCTTTTTAATTATACAGGGAGTTAAACTTGATACGATTTTCAAGTAATATTGGTTATAACTTTTTAAATACCCGGTATAACATAATAAAACTTTACATTGTTGTAATATGGAAGTGAAGCAGATTTCAAATTTAAAATAAAATACAGGGTGTTTCATTTAAAAAAACATAAGTTTGGTCTGCCACCATCTTATGGAACACCCTGTAGGATTGTAACTAATTTTAAAATATGAAGTTAAAAGCTGCCTACAATTTTTGTTAAAAACTTTTTTTTGTAATTTTTACTATAACAGATCTACTGAGCTTCCTCACACTAATCAATCACCCTGTATAATGGAGCAAAATTGTGATATATTAAAAAATGTATAGTGTATATATTTTTATTCTCCAAACTCACCGTTAAAATATTTCCGTATTAATATCCAAATTAAGATATCTCCTTTAATAAAATTTATTGTCGAACGGTCTCACCGCTCATTAATTCTTTAAAGTGCTTCTAAAATTTACCTCTTACGTTCCATTCTAATTTGTGGAGAAAATCCCATAATTTAAAGTGAATAATGCATTTTTAAAGATTTCCGTCGGTATCTTAAAATCTTTTATATTTTGGAGAATACTTCAGCTTTTTTTTTAACTCACTGTTCCATTTCTGAATATCTTGCGATCCAATTTTATGTACAGTTTTAAGAATTGAATTAGATCTCATTCGCATTTAGAAAATGGAAGCTTTGAAACATTAATTGTATTTCTTTAAATATAAGTTTCCGGTTTTGAAATACAAATAACTTCCGGAGAATGAATTGAATCACGGGATTATTCCTGTATTTGAGACTAACAAGCTGCGTCTCAGGAGATTCATTTTTAATATCTACGCTCTAATTTGTCTTTTTGGAACAGTTCTGCCTTAAGCACTCGGCTGGAATAGAGATTGTTATAGATTAATTTTATAAAGTCAAACATATATTTACTATTTGTGTCAGGTAAATCAAAATAACCATGAATATGTAACAACTATTTTTATTACCTAGTTATTTAATATAAAATTCGACTTGGTAAGTTGTTGTATTTGATTGAAACCCATCCTGCATTAAATTAAATTTACCTCTTTTTATTATTATTTTTTTTTTTTTGTTAATGTTTGTTTGATTTGTATTTTTTATTTGCATAGATATGATGAATCATTTATCAGAGAAGTAGATAGGGTTGTAACGATGATTTGAAGATGTTTATATTAGAATATTGTTGCCTATTATTAATAACAGAGTAAATTTTGAAATTAACCTCTATTTATGCTTTACTTTAAAATCTACCCTATGCCGTAGTGTGCTGTTACCTTGGTAGTGGAATTCATCCGAACTAAAAAAAACACCAGAATCGATAAAAAATATATTCTAAGAAAAAAATACTTTTAGACTCATTCATGATTAAAAATTTCAATTTTTCTTATTTTTTTAATATATTTTCCATGAAAAACTTTATATAAAAAAAAACTGTTAGTGGATAAAATGTAGCTTATAAAAAATGAAAGATTGCTTTTTCCATTTTTGCTGTAAGCCTAGTACAAAAGAGTTAATTTTAAATTAGTTTTTAATAAGTTCATTTAATAACTCCAAAGATATTGTAATCTTGTATTCCAAAACAATATGCCTAAATGTTATAAACAAGTGTGAGTCAAGATAAAATAAACCTCTTCTCAAGAAACGCCGAAAATTGTTGATCCTAACAAGAAACTGTCAATAGTCCCCAGAAATTCGTTTATAATATTTCAAGCGGAATTCGTACAATAGATTTTTGTGCTTAAAGTTACTTAAAAACGCTAAATTTAGTGAAAATACTTACTGCCTCTGAGAGCCAAGCTGTGCTAAAGCTTTGAAATCTACAACTTGTCAGTCTGTAACAACTGGGAACTGCAAATAGTCCCTTATGCAAATTCTGACTCACAACAGAATAACTTTCATTTTGGTTGCCAGGAGTCAAAAAGTGGTTGTTAGAGATTTTTAATAGTTTTTCTAAACAAGGAGCTAGTACGCATTCTATCGGACTGTAACCATTTTGCAGTATCCAAAAAGCCACGTCGTGTAAAATGTTCCAAAATAGGAACAGGAACTTATTGAGTCTACTGAGAAATTATTTCAGGCCAAATGCAAGTAAAAAACTTATTGCAACATACTTTTTCTACCCAACAATACTCTTAGATTTTTACAAAACTGAACTCAGATTACCTTAAGGTATTCTCAATGCGACACTGCTCACTCAGATATTATTTCTATAAATTGTGGACAGAACAACATGCAGATTCAGCCAAAATGTACGATACTGTCAAGTACATCGTCTGCAACGTTTCAGGTTAAGGACTTTTAGACGCTGATCTAGTAAGAAACGTAGCTCCGAAACGGCTAAAACTAAACATTAATCTAGGGTATACACAAAAGATCTTTTAGGTTTGCAGTTGAAAAGATCTGCGTGGCCAAATGACCTCTTTAAAATCTATCATCTGCTGCTAGAGCACACTAGGAATTCAGCCTATTTATTTAGTAGTGAAAAGAGACGCTATCATGGAATGTTTCGTATCCAGAAGTAGTGTACTTTTGTTGTTTTAAAATATAAGAGGATCCTGAACTCATTCTTAAATGTAAAAATAGAGATAGGAATGTCTGATAAAATCCATGAGAAGTGTCTTCTTCTAGTTTCATGACCGTTATTGATCGCTGAATATCATGTAGGCTACCATATTTGCTAGGGTGACTTTATTGGCATAAGAAGTATATCCTTAACAAATCTTATATTTCCATATTACACACAACGAGATATATTACAGTAGTAGAAGTCATATTGTTCGATATACAAATGGTTAAAACATATGTAAGGATTGGCTGAACAGGGACCAAAGGACTTAGTTTGCACACTTCAAAGACCTAAAAAAGAGCTACTACGGTTTAGACAGAATTTACAAAGGTTACAAAATACAGGGTGGTCCTTAAGTAATTGTACAAAAAGAAAACGTAGATTATACACTTAAAAATATTACGATTTAAGCCAAATTGCTTTAATAAAATGTTGATATTAAGAAAGATACAGGGTGTTAAAGGTGTAATTTAATAATCATGGTACGAGTGTACATTAAAAGTATTGCCCAGTGCCGTCTAGTGGAACTTAGTCGAACTTCATAAATATGATTCTTGTAAATGTTGACATTTCTTTTGGTAGACAACATTGATAGATTTAAAATCAAATGGTCACGAGTTATTTTTTTTTGAAAAAAGGGTATACTGCGACGATTTCATCACAGAAGAATAAAACTGCCAATGCTGAATGGGATACAACTTTTGTTTGCCAGAAGTTATTAATGAACTCCTTAATACAACAGAATCATCGCATCCTCTTTCATCACGACAATGGCTTATGTAACACTCGAATATGTGAAAGTGAAAAATATCTATTGGATGGTACATCCTGCATATAGTGCTGACTTGGTATCGTGTGTTTTCTTTTAGTTCCCATGAAACAACAATCTACATGGTGAATGTTTTAAGATGCCGATAAGGGAATCGGACATCTTAAATCGGACAATTATACACAAATCTCATTTCTGAGGTACCTATTTTGGACTGTTTGTTTGTCCAAATCCAAAAAAGTATTGAAGGCGAAAACTGTGAAAATTAATAACGCCGATTATTTCTAAAAATATTTTTTCCTTCTAATGTTTGTGCAAAACTTTTAGTATACACCTTGTACTTCAGAATGAATATTTATTGAGCATCGTAAAGTATGCTATGATTTTAAATGTGCTATGAGTTTTGATCATTTAATATTATCGTTGTGATTTTTTAGCTCCAGAAGTAATAGACAATGAAAGATACACCTTCAGTCCGGATTGGTTCAGCTTCGGTTGCCTTCTGTACGAGATGATCGAGGGGCAGGCTCCCTTCAGAGCTCGGAAAGAAAAAGTAAAACGCGAAGAAGTCGATAGAAGAGTCAAATGTGATCAGGAAAAATACTCGAACAAGTTCAGTGAAGATGCCAAATCCCTGTGCCAACAATTATTAGCGAAGAGTCCCCAACAGAGGTTAGGAGGCAAGGCTGGTCGATCTGGAGCCAGTGTAGTCAAACAACATCAATTTTTCCATCCGCATATTAACTGGAGGCGGTTGGAGGCTGGTATGATAGATCCTCCGTTCGTCCCAGATGTAAGTTTAATTTTTTTTTTTTTTTTTCATTTGAGTTTTTAATCAATTTTGAAATTATATATATATATATATATATATATATATATATATATATATATATATATATATATAAACTTTGATAAAATGAAAGGCAGATATCCACAGCTTTATTAATTAAATCTTGCCCAAGTACTTTCGCTTCCTAGAGCATCTTCAGGGGCATTTCGTCAATTTTGGGCTATCCAACAAGCGCAGAATGTCATAAACATAAAATTAAACACAAAATTGTATATAACACTACACTAAACAAGGACAAACAGTTTAAAATTATTTAAAAAATTTGTTTTAGTCGATGCTACATTCTGATCGGCAACAGGAGAGAGAATGTCTACCGGTCTTAACGGAAATGTTAAGGTGACATGTCACCTTAACATTTCCGTTAATACTTTTTTTTTTTCTTAAAACTGTGCTGATTGTATCTGTTGTGTCCTTTATTTAGGGCAGGATGGTTTTGCTAATTGGTTTTTTTTCTACCGGATCTCTGATTTTGTTTCGAAATTTCTGTGCCTTTTCAATCGTAGATGTGGAAAAGCCATTTTTTTAAAAGCTGTTTTAATTTTGTGCAATTCCTCGTTCTTGTGGTCCCCATCTATCAGTTTTTTGGATCTTGTGATTAGGGTTTTGATTACCGAATTGAATTGTACAGGATGATGGTGTAGATGAGCGTTTTAAATATCTGTGAGTATGGGATGGTTTTCAGTATGTCTTATGCTTTCGTGTCCTGTCTTTTTTGGTATGTAGTCTCTTATTGTCTTATTCTATCCTCATATTTTTTTCTTTTCTACGCTTATACTATACAAAACCATCCCGTAATTATTATCATTATAATATCATTAATGACATTTTTATTTTGCAGCCTCATGCGGTGTACGCGAAGGACGTGTTAGATATTGAACAATTTTCAACTGTGAAAGGTGTAAATATAGATGAAAGTGACGCTAGTTTTTATAATAAATTTAGTACGGGTTGTGTTTCGATACCGTGGCAGACTGAGATGATCGAAACCGACTGTTTTCGTCAGTTAAATGTCTTCGGACCAAATAGCACAAGAACGCCTGATCTAGTACTACAACCGACGACTGTTTCAGAAAATGAAGGCTGTTTTCCATTTAGACGGAAGGTATGTATGGTAAAAAACGTATATTGCTTGTACGTATGTCTAGTAGCAACTGGGAGTTCTTTGTCAATCAAAAATTTAAAAAACTGAACAAACTTCTTAAAAAGCTGCATTCCATATTTGCGTACCTCCACTGGATTATTAATTCGTTGTGGTACGGATTTGTTTTAATTATTTGTGTATTTATATTTGATTTCTATATCAGCGTTTATTTTGCTCTTTGACAGCTGCTGAATAAATTGTATTTATTTTTATATTTAACAATTTTTTAACATACCTACATATATTTAAGGAAATTTTATTTTACTCCCGTTTTATAGAGAAAATATTTCACTAAAATTAACAGTTTTCGAGAAAAATGAAAAAAAAAAGGAATAATAGTTTCTGCTATATTTTAATTCTATATTTCTATATTCTAATTTTATAATTTCATATAAACAGCGATGCCCACAAAATATCTAAACATCTAGCAATAAAACTTCCTTATTTCGTAGGGTATCTTAAGAATTTTTCTTGGTATAGTAATTTGTATGGAAAAACTGAAAAGAGAACATTAATTACAATATCTCAATACGTTTGTACATTTATTTTGATATGTTGTTGAAAAGTTGGTTTGTTTTTCAGTAATAAATACGCCATTGTATATAAATATATAAAGTAATTATCAATTCTCTCTTTAGACCTCTTTTTCTAGTAGCCTGGCTTATCTTTTCTCTTGGGCGTACCCATGTCCCTACTTCTTAGTGTGTTCCATTTTAATATTCGTTTGGTTCAATCTTCAACCAATCTTACATGTTTTGTACCTGTAAGAATGGATGAAGTTTACATGGCCATACTGTATGAGTTCTTTTGGACGTAAATTTATAATTATTCTTCAAATTCCGAGCATTCTTCTAATGTCTTTCTTTCTTCTTCTTCTTCTTCAGCCTTTTTCTTTTCTGGGGTCAATATTCCTTACTCTTTATCGCCTCTCATTTCTGTCCATCGGATCTCCTTCACCTAAGCATTTCCCTCTCAAGTCCTCTGAAACACAGTCCTTCCATCTTCCTTGCGGTTTTCCTGTACCTCTCCTTCCATCAACTTCTCACATAGTTTTTATCCTTACGTCTGTTATTACCAAACCATTGCAGCCTTTGTTTTTGAATCTTTTGAGACTATCACACTGGCTCTATATTTTGACTTGAAACAAACAACACAATGCTTAAAAGATATGGTTGCAACCGAAATATAAGATTTTACGAAAATTCACAAACGTAATTATTCCACAAAATGTTTCAAAGTAAGGATAATAAAACCACGTTTTAAGTAATCGCGTGCAATAAGTCAAATATAAAAATGATCAAAAAACTGACTATACCAATTTATGAATTTATACATAGTGTGCTAAAAGATCGTGTATATATATACGCTGTATTGCTTTTTGAATTTTTTGTGAAATTTATAAACCATTTTTTGACGATCGTATATGTTTTGATATACGATTTTGACGATTTAAAAATTGGTACTGGAATCAAACTGCTATCGTAAAAATTGGAGATAACTACACCGATGAAATCTCTATACAACGAGGAGTCAGACAAGGTTGCATTTTGTCGCCAACATTGTTCAATGTTTACTCGGACCAGTTATTTAAAAAGGCACTTGAGAGGCAACCATATGGAATAAAAATCAACGGGGAACTACTTAATGTGATTAGATATGCAGACAATACAGTAATTATATCAGATAATATTGAAGGTCTTCAAATTCTGCTTGATCGTATTCACGAGGTAGGAGAGGAAATGGGCATTAAAATAAACTCAAACAAAACCAAATGTCAAGTGTTTAGTCGTGACCCACATCCCGATGCAAAGCTTCAATTGAACGGAGTTCAAGTTGAGAAAGTTCACAAAATGACATATTTGGGAACTGTAATAACGGACCAAATAGATCCAGACATAGAAATAAAACGTAGAATAGCAATGACTAAAACTACTTTTATGAAAATGAAGTCACTTCTTTGTAATAACCGTCTCAGTTTAGAACTAAGTCAAAGAATGGTTTAGTGCTATGTTTGGTCTGTACTTTTGTATAGTACAGAAGTGTGGACGCTAAAAGTATAGATCATGAACAAAATTGAAGCATTGGACATGTGTGTTTATAGACGAATGCTGAATACCTTGGACAGCAAGAAAAACTAATGCAGAAGTACTAAGGAGCATTAACAAAGACAGAGAACTGCTAAAGACTGTTAAACATCGAAAAATGTGTTATCTGATACATATAGTAAGGGGAAGTCGATATAAAATTTTACAACTGATCCTTAAAGGCAAAATAGAGGGCCGTAGAGGTGTAGAAAGAAAACAAGTTTCTTGGTTAAAAAACATTTGTGAATATACTCAGATACCAAATGCAGGACAATTATTCCATAGATCGAGAAGCCTTCGCAATGGTGATCGCCAACGTCGGATAATTCTGATATGGCACGCGAAGAAGATATGTTTCGATGAGTACGTTCAAATTGACAGCATACGCAATATCGTCGACATATTAATAATGGAGCTAGGGAAGAGTAAGAAGTGAGGTCAAAATGTAAATGAAATTTAGTATGCGAGTAGAAGGTGCCAGCCGACCAGAATATAGTGCAACTGATAAAGAAGCGAGAGTGTCAGTCAGACTCTTCTGTTACAATACTTTCTCAATTTCTGAAGGAGTGATGTGACATTCCATCATGATGTCACAGTGGAGTAAATTAACAAAGCAACGCTCTCTAATCCCATCTTTTTATTGTGCTTGTTACTTTTTTTTTAAATAGCGCTGCTTGCCTGCCACTTGCCTCAGACGATTCTACGATATTTATTTTCTTTTGTGCTCCCTGCCGCAACATATAACAGATCGGTTTTTCATAATTGACTTTTTACTAAGTGATTCCTTTACACCTCGCAGATTAGATGCTGTTCCATTGTTAACTCGTGGCTTAAGCATCATAAAGTGTGCTGTGTATACACAGTACAGAGAAGTATGTCTACCTCAAAGAAATTTTAACAGTAACGGCCAAAGAAATATATATTTCATGCAAAATTTATTATTACGAGTAATGACTACTAAATATTTGAGACTGATAAGTAAAAACATATATTTATTTAATAACCTCTTCAAGGACACACCTAAACATATTTGTGTACGACTCTAATCAGGTCGCTTCTGATCCTTTCCCTTTTAGTATTACCTAAAATCCACCGTAGCATTTCCATTTCAGATATCTTCATCTTCTTTTCCTGCCTCTATCAACTGTCTCAAAGCAAACAAGGCATCCGTTGTCCTCCTTCCTGGCATAAACCCAAACTATTCTTTTCCTATCGATATCTTTCTACTTAACCTTCGGTCTACAGTTTTCTTATCGCATTCTTATCTAACCCCTCTCTCTGCTTTGAATTGACTTAAGAACTTCTGATCTAGTCTTAATGTGCCATATTGGACTGGTACAGATTTTTAATGAGTGTCACTAGGTGTATCGATATACCCATCTCTATTAAAAAGGACCAAAGATTTATCCAGTTAATACAACGCGTACCTTTTTCCTTTTACAAACTCTGCTTATTCCTACGGTATTTGATAATGTAGCTTTAATGTCAAGTTTCTAACCTTTAATACCATCCTTGGGTTATAAGCTTGCATTTGACATCTCATTTGTCATTCTAATTATATCTGTTCTAATACCGGAGGAATTGTGTTTACGGACACAATTGTCACATACAGACATGGATAATTCAAGGTTGTAATTCATACATTTTAATGTTGGAAAATGGGTGAAAATAATTGAGGTACACCAATCAGATGGTCGTTTTCCCGAATTATAGATAACGACACAGAATGGATGATATTTAATAATTGTCACCTAGTGACTGCATCATTTCTCCTGGTATTATGTATTGGCTCTAAAAGTCTGGCGATGTATTTCTCTTTAGCAATTTAATTGCATCTTTTACTTCAGAGAGCAAGTCAGTAGGTTCTCTAGGGTAGTCGGAGAGCCATAAATGTTCTGCTGGAGTCTTTTTATTTCTATATAAATCACTACAATAGATTCACCACGGTTCCAATATTTCGTCAGTATCGATCTTTATATTACCTTCCTCGTTCATCACAGACCACATTTGAGGTTTAAACTCTTTGGTAATGAGTTTGACTTATAAAACAAATCTTCCGACAACCATGTTCTTCTATTTCTTTGCATATCTCCAAGAAGTAATTCGCTTTGTCTTTACGGAATTGCCTTTTTATTTCTTTCAATAACGCTCTGTATTCATAGTTCGTGCCAAATCTACTTGTATGTACTTTTTTACATGGAATCATAGTTTAAGTGTCATCAGTTATCCATGGCTTACGGATTGTGGAAAACGATGAAACGTTTTCTTCCAAGTCTTGTTAGTATTTTAATTTTTTCGTTTTGAAAGGAGTTTAGGGACATGATTCTACTTTTCTTTGCATATTTTCAAGAAATAATTCGCTTTGTCTTTGCGGAATTGCCTTCTTATTTCTTTCGATAACGCTCTGTATTCATCGTTCGTAAAAAATCTACTTGTGTGTTCTTTTCTGCATTGAATCACAGTCATAAGTATCCATGGCTTACGGATTGTGCAAAACGATGAAAAGTTTTCTTCTAAGTCTTGTTAGAAACGTTGTTTAGCGACACGATTCTTCTTAGGAGTATTCTTTTTAGGACTTTAAAACGAAGTCGGACGTTTAATACTATGAGTTGATCTTCCCTTCCACAATATTCACCCGAGTATTTTTTACATCTTTACCAAGGATTGCCATCTTGATCTCATTATGATGGAATCTATTTGATTTCTTTTGCGTCCTTCTGGGCTACTCCATGTGTACAATATTCGTGGGTAGTGCTGATAAAATTTGGCATTAAAATAAAAAATAAAATACTTTGGCATTAAAATCTCCTAGGATTGTGACCAGTTCACGATTGGGAATAGCACGAATAGTTTATTCTAGGGGGCCATAGAACCTGCCAATTTCAATTCCAGGATAAAAATAACATTATAATCGACCTTATAATAAAAAATTAATCGATCTCATAATGAAGAGTGTATATGGCATGGTCATCAATGGAAATTCTTATCTCATTACATTTTCTTCGCCACTAGAAGAGTCTTTTATCCAGGTATATGTTAAACAGAAACGGGATCCATTGATATAGTTGCTTAGTTGTCTTAAATAGAGTTACAAAGTTATAAATAAGAAGTTGTATTTGTTGTTCATTGGTTTGACAGCTTATTTATTTTATGATTCATACATAACACACCATTTCTGAGATGTTATCATAAGCCACAAATAACAGATGGGTTTTTATTGACAATTTTTTTTATTAATGTTGTTTAATGAGACAATATTGTCAATTGTATAATATAGTCTGGCTTTGAAAGTTGTCTTACTTTAATCTGCTAGATGTTGAGATCGTTTTCTATAAATAAGACATTTGTGTGCCAATGTTATTTGACACCTTTTTTTTAGAGATTTTATAGAATAGTAAAATAATTGTAATCATTGATTTTTGTTTCAGAAAAAACAACTTCCTAGAACTCGGCCCATACCTATCAACCCTACATTGTTACCCCAACTAGCGGAAAGATGATGGACCGAAAAATAAAAATTGGCGAGAGTATATTACCCTCTCTGTATCTTTCTCTCTTTATGTCTTGTATCTTCCGTCTACCCCATCAATGCTCCCTTCGAAGTTCATGATTGACAGGAAGAAAGTGTTTGTTAGAAAAAAAATGGTTATTTGGACTTTTCAGATATGTAAGTTAGTCTGTTTGGGGGTGTTATTTGGTGCTAAATTTACAAGATAATTAGAAAATCATTTTATGATTTCTTCTAAGAAGAAAAGTCAGAATGATTTTCACATATAACGAAATACGTACCAGTTATGGAAGTAAAAAAAGGACGCTGTAATTAAAATAAAATATATTTTAGTTGTTATTTTGCGTATTATATATAAGAACTTTCAAATTATTGTAAAATTTATACATGTATTAGTTATGGATTACTTTTTTTTAACTTTGTATGAATTAAATTCCGTTTTTCGCTAAAGGATTTTGAATAATAAATTAGAAAGTGCTGTACCTAGGCTACTATATCACAAACCAAAATTTCTGCTGTTGGAAACAAGATAAACATCTGTTGAACTTTTTAAAGCATTCATCAAATGTTTGATTATTTGTCCGTATAATGATTTCATAGATAGATATTTCACATAACTTTGACTATATTGAGATAATAATTATACATAAAGGAATATATAGGTTCTGGAGCTGTTTTCTTGTGGCATGTCTAAGTTAAATATTATGTTTATATGGGATTAAGCCACAATTGACTATAATGAGAATTTCATTTTATAATGGTTATTTGACATTTCGATTTCCACTCAAGAAATAGTTTTCAAAAAAGATTATTTTAAAATAGTGCAATATTTTTATAACCAAAGTAAGCAACCAAAGTAACCAACCAAAGTTATTGTGCATTTTGTAACAAACGTTGTTTTCCAAAAAATTGACGGATGACTTACTTGGCCTCGATTTTGGAGGCATGTAACAATTCTTCTAGTTGAAAATTCTGAGGATGATGTATATACGTACCCTCAGGATGATATTAAATTCTAATAGTTTTGTATGTGTATGTATTATGTGTTTATGCATTATGTATTATCTGTTCATGTATTATATTTTATGTTTGTGTATAATTCTAGGTGGTGTATGTGTTCTGTATAACTGTAGATGATGTGGCTTTGGCTTTCTATTAATCCGCTGATCTTGGTATGTTTTTGTTGATGACTTTTTCTTTTAGAATTACCAACCAGAGCTTGCTACCTTCTGCTGATGGCTTTGCTACATATTTTGATTAGCAGTTTAATAGAAAGCGAGATACCTATCATCTACAATTATACATAAACATGTAATACATGAACATATAATATATAAACCCTATATATACCTAATATATATATATATATATATATTATATATATATATATATATATATATCTGAAACAATCAGAATTTGATATCGTCCTGAGGGTACAGGAATCATCCCAGGATTTCCAACTAGAGAGGCGTCGCTATGTGTCTCCAAGATCGAGGCCAATTAAGTCACCAGTCAATTTTTTGGAAACAATAACCAAACCCTACAACTTTGTTTATAAAAACATCACACTCTTTTAAAATAGTATTTTTGGGGGATCCTGCAGTACGAAGGGGCAATAAAAAGGTTTTAGTTTTAAAGTATTGAATTTTGAAAAATATATTCTTATATATTTCATTAAAAAATATAAAGCATATTAAAATTAGCTCATTATGTTGCTAATAAGTAGGCAAAATATGAAAAACCAAATATTTTTTGCAATGTTTATTTAGAAAAACATGAAAATATATAATTGATGGATTCGACCGTTACTTGATGGAAATTCATTTTATGTGACCACAAAACACTGAAAACTTTGTTTTCAAACTTCCACAAAATTTATTTTAACACCTATTACTACAGCTGTTTCGGCTGATTGCCATTCTCAAGTGGTCTACTTTTGGCTTGCGTTTACACTTTATAGTCTCTAATGAAATAGGTTGAGGAGGGGAGAACTGTTTGTCTCAAGTTGGTCATTCAGAATTATATCTGTGTTTTTTAATTTGTTGATTTCCATAGATTCTAACAAAGATAACTTAAGGCCTTTATTTTGAATGTGAAGAATTTTAAATTTGTCATTAAAAAAAATATTATGATTTAGAAGGTGAAGTGTGTATGAAGAATATGTTTTTCTATTATTGAAAGCCCTTTTATGTTCTGCTATTCGTTTATTAAAGTTTCTACCAGTTTGACCGATGTAAGTTTTTGGGCAGTCGCCACATTTAAGTTTGTACACACCACTATGTAAGTGTTTTTTTATTTTGGCTCTTGTTGTTTTTAAAATATTTGCCTAGGTTGTTATTTGTTCGGAAATCTGGTATTATTCCTAAAAAAGAAAGGAATTTTTAGTACTGAAAAATCACCTTGCTGGATCCTAGTTACAAGAAAAGGTTTCTTCTTCTGACTTAAAATATCTTCCCAGTGATTGGGCGAATACATCATTTCACAGTTTTTCTTGACACAATTTTCGACAACATAAACGGCTCTGTCGCTTGACAACATTTTGTGTCCTACCTGAGGAAATATATGAACTATTTCTTTAAAATATTCATTTTGTAAAAAGTAAAACCAAAGACGGTCCAGTTTTTATTTTGTCCGCAGCAATTGTCTGAAATGGCCACTAGTTGGTGAAATGGCTATTAGTTTTTTTTCCACGTATATTATTTTTCTCAAATTTCATTTTGAGACCGTCCTATTTTGTCCAACCCTCCTACTATTTCGTCCAACCCTCTTTAAGTGGATTCATTCAACATAAAAAGTGACCTCGACCATTCCCAAGGGGATGTATGATTAAATTATAGTACCACAGTTTTCTTTTATAGAACGTGGAACCTGTGGTAAGCTTTGGTGTGAGGAAAGTTTGCTGTAGATAAAAACTTATTACATGCATTTTTGGGTTTAAGTCTGCTTCCTCCGCCGCGTCTCTTCTGTCCGTTGACGTGCTTTAGCTTTTCTGTGATGTAGTTCTCGTTCAGTTTTAATTTTTTTAATCTCAGATTTATCATTACGTAGCTTATCATTTTCTAAAGCTACTGAAAATTTATCGCACACTTGACATGACAATGTATCCATTTTTGGAGTTCTGAAACTATTTTATATTCTTCAATAAATATTCTTCAGCTATCAGCGCATGTATAATAGCTTTTGTACTTAGGTAAGCTTTCAATAAAAAAATTTAGAAAATCTATATCAGAATTGAAATATTTTTTAGGATGATTTGAATGTCGACCTCGTAGATCTGATTTTTCAATATTTGATCCAATTTTTAGTTATTTCAATGTATTTTCAACTCGACCTCGATTTTTCTGTAAGCCACGAATTCTTAGAAAAGCCATTTTGCAAACCTCAACATCTTTTCCTTGTGATTTTGATGTATCCAATAGTTTGAGATCTCTTTGTCACTTCTGCGACAGAATAATAAACAATCAGAATGCCCACTCTGCTTAAAAAAAATAAGTACGCGCATCTCGTTCGCGCAGACATAATCAGTCATGTTTTAAACGAAACCAGTGCTGTTCAGTGACATTTTATCTGGTGTGCATGGACAAATTAACCCGGTTTAATTTATTTGCGGCAACTACAGACATAATATGCACTATTTTATTCGTACTTTGAAGAATAGATTAAATTATTTCAAATGTACTAAATTATTTAATCTCTAAAAATTTAAATTACAATTATGTCGTAGCTTGTCACAAATTTCTCAATTCGAGTCTATGTTTCCATCTAAAACATGGCGTTAGCGTGCTGACAAACTTCAAAGGCGGCATCTGAGAGTGGGCATTCTGATTGGTTATTATTCTGTGCTACTGCCTTATTTTTCTTTTTAGTGACATTTTCAGGTATCATACAACCTTGGAAGTAAACATTTTGCGATCAAAATTATTCATGTCAAAAGTACTTGTCCCTCGATATGTATAAGAAGACAGTACTTGAAGTTGCAGTTGTTGTAAGTTGCAGTTGAATATGTAGGTATGAGAAGCTGCAGAGACTTCATTTACATTTTTGCAAGTAAAAAATTCAGTTTTTATACAAAATGAAGGTGGATGTAAACAATGTTGAGTACTTCCATTACCATTTCTTACTTGCCAATATTTATTCTAGGAATACAAAGAAATTTACCTTCTTTGTAGAAAGTTGATCGAGCTAGCTACTACTCACTAAATATATGAAATTCAGGATCTTTATCTGAGTCATAATCATCAGCTCTCAGAATTGTCACTATTCCGCAGCTAAAAAAAACCATTTAGATTTGAACAGCCTGCATTGTCTTCCGCCATCATGGACACTTGACAATCTTGACATTATTTTCACGTTTACGCATGTCCTTTGCCCAATTTTAAGAAATTAAGCTGACGCCATCTACTATTAGTAGGCTAAACTAAATAAAATTGTCTATTTTACCATGTCCCTTACCAGCTTTTACATACTATTTCTCGAAAAATCAAAATTTGTCCCTCAACATTGTTTACTATCGAGCCTCTCAATTATAAAATATAATCAAATATGGCTTAATTTAATATAAACATAAAATTTAAATAAAGGAATATAATAAGTATATTTGCGTTAGGTTGCTTTGAAGAGTCCAAAAAGTTACGGTGAAAGTGGAACTAGAAGAATGCTTCTAGTAAATTCTAGGCCAAAGTCAACTTTAAAGCTTATATTTGTTACTGAAATTTGTGGCATGCAATCTGGCTGCACAACGTAACACAAAAAAATGTCGATCTTACTATAGCCCTCCATCTTCTACGATCTTGAAAATATGTAAGCAAATATTTGTATTTAGTGTAGATTCCTGCATGTAAATGTTGGTTCGATAAGTTTATTACGTAAACTCGTTAGTTTCTTATGTTCTGTCAATTGTGTTCAATTTGCATCGATGTTTTTGACGTCGTCTGTCCATCATATAGGGGGTCTACCCCTGCTACTTCTGTCTGCTCGTGGTCTCCACACTAA